TTGATTCAATAGTTTATCGAATAACTATTGAATTAATAAAAGTAAAAGATGATTAACATATGAACATGAATCGGTACTCGGGTTTATTTTTGTCCGAATTAACCCGATCGGAAGTGTCTGAAGGTGATTTTCAAGGCAAAGACCCCATTTTATTATATTATTTGGATTTTTTAAGTTTTTAACACAAAACTTTTCACATTAGGGGTGATTTTTAAAGGTTAGGGTTTGGGAATGGCATAGAACAGTTTTATTTAAGGCACCTCATAGCGATTAGTTAGCCAGTTTTTAAGATAATATATACACAGTTGTAAAACACCATAGATACGTTTTAATAAGTCTTTTTAAAAAATTTTATTGCTCTCAATACAATTTGAAACGAAAAAACTTCATATAAAGTTTACAAACTAATAATTATATGTAAAAGAATTTATAACAAATGTTTAGAGAATAGACAGATACTCGTAAAATGGGACAATATGATATTTATTATTAATAAACCCGAACTCATTAAATAGTCTACAAGATATATTACAATAATCTAACTATTGCAGTTCAAAAGTACTAATCTAATAATGAACCCAAACCTGAGTGCTGGCAGACTAAACACTTAGATCAATACACACAAAAAAGCCTGTATGCTACCAGATCCGATGAACTAATTCCTATAAAATCTAATACTTGAAACATAAGAAATATTAAGACCATCCCCATTCTCAAGCATAATAAATTAAACAGCTATAAAGGTCTCTTTATGAAACCTTATATCTTGAGTATTTTTTTTCAAACTTTTTTGGTTGACTAACGCTTATATACAGCCAGTATAGCAATGAGTTGTAAAGTATCTGTTTCAAAGTGAAGTTCACCTTGTTTCTGATTATTTTTGGTTATTTTTACATAGTGAACGTTGATGCTTTTCGTACACATTGGTGTATTTACGTTGGTCCTTTATTAGTGAAACGTTATAATCTTAAAAAGTACTTTAAAGTGTATAAATAAGTCCCCAGGCAATTAGTCAATCATAGGATTGTCTACTATACTGGAAATTTGGGATCCTCCTGTAAAAATTGTTCCCACAACTATCCCAGTATCGCCTTCTAAAAATCTTCCCATAAAATTCTTAAAATCATTAAGGTCAGGGTTAACGTTTATATTATAGTTAGATATTTGTAAATATATTAGTAAAATAACTCGAGGAATTTTTTTTGTTAGTGCACCAAAGGCTTTCCTATACAGATTTTTGAGTTATAGGCGATTTTTGGCAAAACGTTTGTTTTGAATTTCCTGATTGTGCTACGTTACACCTGGTCTTGAATCTGATTGGATTGCGCCACAAAAATACCACGTGACTGCAAATTTTTTAGGCGAGAAGATCTTCTAATCAGTGTTGGAAATCATATGTTCACAGTGTTCACAAGAGCATAAATTTTTTAAAAAAATCAAAATATTTTTATTTTATGTTCACATTTGTGAACATAAATAATTTTTATTTAATTAATAAAATTTTATTTGTGAACATTATTTTTTTTAATGTGAACATGATAAAAAACAAAGTATGTTCATAAAAATCATCATACTGCCTTATGAATTTCCAACACTGCTTCTAATAGTAACTTAGTGGTGGCGAATGAAGGCGCAATCACGTGATGATCATCCTAACAATGATTGGCCATTAAACTCATGTGATGATCATCCTAATGATCATATTACGCATACCATAATTGGCTAATAAATTATCTAAAAAATCGCGTAAAGACACGAAGTATAGAGCGAAGCCATAATGCAAGAAAAAAGCAAGACAACTTATGCATAAAATAGCAATCATTAATTACAAAATTTTTTACATATTTTATATACAGTAGTCATATGTGTCGAATATAATTTTTTTTATTAATAGCAGAAATTAAGCTAGCTTAGCCTAATTGAAAAGCAAGCTTTGAATTACGTGGTGGCTTCCAAGTTCTTTGCTGTGTTCTGGCCATCAAAACCTCTTGACAAGCTTTCGTTTCAACTACTAAGGTCTGTCTCAATTTTCTATATGTATTATAGAAGTTGTCATTTTGAATATTATCAGTAACAATGTTTAGTAAAGACTCAAACATTTTTTTATCTTCTACTAACTCAATCTCTCTAGACTCGATTAATTCATTGCGATTATCAAAATCTATTTCTATACTACAGTTATATTTGTCTGTTAAATTCTCTAATTTATTTAAGAAATTTTTATTTATTTTAATCCAAGGATGATTTGCAGGATTAATACTTGTAGATGCTTTATCAAAGTAGATAAATGGGTAATCATGTCTTCTTGTTGTTGTCGCGTATTGAGGAAAAAATTCTGGATCTTTATCTTTACATTCTTTAATGAGATGTTTACATACTAAATAAGCACTATTTATAAATGCAGAACACGAACAGATCCAATTATTGATATTTGTTAGATATTCATTTTCTGATTTAATTTCTTTAGTTAATGCTTTTTTCCATTCATCTTTAAACTTATCCCACCAGGAAGGAAAAGCCCGATTATTATTGTAGCGATGCCAAGTATTTATTTGATCCAGAATTAAATCTCTTGTCAGAATCTGGGTTAGACGATCTAAATGGGGCCGATTGCAAGTATATTTATAGTTATATTTTAGAGTTCACCAATGCGATTCTATTAGCATTGTTGTTCTTGCTAATGGAATCGCATTCGGAAAAGAAGCCCGGGAAAAAAGATTCCAATCAGCTTTATTGTACCAGTTAATCCACAGATATCCCCACAAACAGACAAAATTTCTATCTTTGCAATACTTATATATTTCCATAATGCTTTCACGATAAATGTCAGCTATGGTAAGGAAATTTTCTTTATTGATTGGTATTAATGGATGTAAAATAGAATGTTTATGAACTATATTTAAAATTTCATTAATATTTTCTTCTGAATACAAATTATTTTGATCTTCTCTAGGGACCCAAGATATATCAATGAAATCAAATAATTCATTCACTTCTTTAGCTTTTTGCATTGTATACTGAGTTGATTTACTTTTTTTTTCTTTTAGTTTTTTACTAATTGCACGTTTAATGTGCTATAGGCACAATTGAATTTTTGTCTTGTCAGACCATGCTTCTTGTGCGGCTATTATTTGACCCGTATCTTTATCCATAAGAATGAATATAGGAAGAATATCCTCATTTCTTAATCTTAAAAAGAACTCTCTAAGAACTTGTAATCGGGAATGAGTTTTGTTTTTAGGATCCTTAAGAAGATCTTTTGGTGTCGTAAAGGTATTAATATACAAGTATGCGAGTGGGACTCCATACCCACCACAATTTACTATTACTGAAAATAATTCAAATTTTTGGTTGTTTGTTTTATAAGTGGAATCGATGATAATTTCATTTATATCAACTTTTTGTATTAAACTATTAAAAGGGGTAAGGAATCCAAGTGCCTGTACAAAATCATTTTCAATGTATACTATGACTTTAAATCCTTCATTAACCAATTCTTCTTGCTTTAAAAAGTTTAAAGATGAAAGAAGTTGATTAGATGAATGGGTGACATATTGTTGGGCAGAGAATTTTAAAGCCCAATAGTAAATTTGGTTATAGGTATGTATTTTTGGGTCAATAAGTTTTTCTTCGTAGAGCCTTTTATATATTTCAGTTTTTCTAAAATTCCTATTTACATTTTCAGATATCCACGTAATAGCATTTTCAGGTAATTTATTTTCACGATGAGTTGGTTGTTCGTGAGGAATCAAATGTGAGATTTTAATCCTTACTTGGCATACATTAAAATCAATATTAATTGTAATTTTTCCTTTACATGGAAACCGATTAATTGGGGGTCTTGCTTCGCTTATTCTTTTAATTTGTTCAGGTGAGTGTTTGTGCTTTCTATCTATTCTTTGGGTACAGCCAAGATATACTGACGCTTTTCTGGTATTATTTTTGTATGTGTGAACTTTTCTAACTTCCCAATGATATTGAGACCCAGTTTCAATAGGTAAGAGAAGAAAAGAAATTAAATTACGAATTTTAGTTTTTTGGACATTATTGCTCAACTCTTGGATGTTATTCAACTCTTGGACATTATTTGATTCTTGGATGTTATTTGATTCTTGGATGTTATTTGATTCTTGGATGTTATTTGATTCTTGGATGTTATTTGATTCTTGGACATTATCTGATTCTTGAGGATTATAGATCAATTCTTCCTCAAATTCAAAAGTTTCAGAAAATATTACTTCTTGATTTTCTTTAATATTTACAAAATGTGTAGTAACTAACTCTTCTAATTCGTCTAATTCATACAGAACAAGATCTTCATTATCGTCAACTTCTTCCTCTGTATCACTAACTTGGATAATTTCTGATTCATCCCAAATTTCTGAATTTTCAAGTTCATTAGCTTCATTAATTTTAGGTTTCGAAGGTTTAATTCATTTTTTTGTTGAGCAATCATTGCATCTAGAAAACTCCTCCAGCTTTTTGTTATCATTGAGTCGAATAAATTCTTCGAGTCTCTTTCGTTTTGCGCAGTGGGAACATGATTTTATTTGGATATTATCGGTAACATTAAGCATTTTGTCTAAGTATATCGTTGATTGTCCTTTTTGATGAAATTCTTAGATATTTATATTATATAATTTATACTTGTTTGTAATGAGTTTTTATTAATGTTAAAAATTTGTTTTATATTCGGAATTTTGATTTGTTTCTGTAATTTTTTTTATAATTATATTTTTGTTTCTTTATGAAGTTTTATTTTAAATACTAATATTATTTCATTTTGTTATTATTAAGTAACCTTTAATTTGATTAATTAGTCGAAAGATTTTTTTTTTTTTTATTAAACGATTTCGTTTGCAAAAACCTACTCAAAGCAATTGTAATTACAGTTTTTTTATACTGTGTTTAATATGCTTGCTAATACAATGTCTTGAATGAATTTTATAGATACATAATTTTCATCACTTATTTTTTTTTTGAAGCTTCATTATATAATTTCATTCTATTATCAATCTCTAATTTCACAAAGGTTGCAATTTTTTCACGTTTTATCATTAACTTCCTTATTTGGTTCTAAATTATATTAAAAACTGGTTTTATGTCATTTTTATATTTTTTTTTGAGGTTTCATTCCTTTGTTGCATATTATTCAATAATCATATTAACATTTAAATGTAACTTCTTTATTTGGCCATAGCTTATTCTTAAAAACTGGTTTGACAACAATTTTTTTTAATTATTACTATGCGCATTACAACTTGAAAATGAAAATTAGATGTGCACATGCATAGGATGCAACATAGTATGAAATTCATTTATTAATAATACTACTTAAAAGGGTGATAGAGCCAAATTTTGACGGTATGTTTGTATCTATAATAGACATAGACTTGATTTCTCGAACTTATTTAACTGTATGTATATTCAATCATTATTCTAATTAACACTCTCTGTTTAAGGACTTATTTACAATCAGTTCATTTAACAGTAACGTTTGTTGTTAGTATTCGATAAGCATATTATGTCCAGATACTATACAGAATATGGGAAATATCAATTATGCAGATGAAAAAAAGTGTTGATTATCCTTGATCATGTTTCAAAATTTTAATTTTTTTTTTAGATTTTTAATTTATTTTATTTTTTAATTTGATTTTAAAATGGTAATAGACAATAGCGTTTCAAAAAAAAAAAAAAAAAGGTTCTGCTTAATAGGCGGCTAGGATTCATTCAAAAATTGACATTATTAGGTTTGATTTTTTTTTTTTTTTTATCACATGAATTAGTATTCTTGAAAAGTAATGTGAATGATAATATTTTTGTTCTTTTTTGGTGGTATGGCAAATGGTAGGGAAAGCCGTCAATCAGCCTGAATCGACGTTGGTAAACTGATCTATCACTGTTTGTGGATTTATTCATTGTCAAAGTGATTGTCGATGAATAATAAAAAGACAAATTTGTCAGTCACACATCTTTGCGAGTATTGAAATAAGTTGCACACAAACTAAAAAGTACGTAATTTAGCCATTCCAATTTATTGTTTCAATTATTTTAGTGATTCATTTAACCTTTGATTCATTGCTTTAATAATCGTGGCTACAACATTAATCCTTATTAATTTATTATTTAATGGTTGGGACTATTGAGTCAAGTAATAATCGCTTTTAAGATGCACAAAAGAAATGTTAAAAATAATTTATCAATGTTACTGCAATAATGAAGTTCTATGTCTATTTGCTTACGATGAGGTTTATGAAAAAAGATCCAAAAAGCCCACTTGTGTCTTGAAGCTTAATATATGTGCTTGGTTATTTTTATTGGTATGTAGAATGCTTCTATGTCTATTTAATTTACCTTTATTAAACATCTTTATTTTCTTTAATTAGAATAAAATAGTGGCATACTTCTATAATCAGAAAGTACATCTTGTTCGATGTTTGGTTTATTTGGGCAGAACGTTAATTATTTGTAAAAGAAACGACAGTACAGATAAATTCCGTTCATGGCAAGCTATGCTTCTTTTTTATTCTGCTGTATCAAGTGAAGTTTTGGATTTCCTACAAGGCAAGATTAGATTCGTGAGTTCAAAAATAATTATAATTTTAATTATAATTATAATTATAATTATAATTATTATAATTATTATTATAATTATTATTATTATTATTATAATTATAATTATTATTATTATTATTATTATTATTATTATTATAAAATTATAAGAACAGGTTATTCCAAATTTTAAATCCTTGAAATAAGTTATTGATCACAAATTTATTATATTTTATTCGAGTTTTTATATCGTTATTTATTATATTTAAATTTCATTTGTATTACAATTATCACTATCTACAATGTTATTTGCGAAATTGGATTCTTTGGTCTAATAAATAAATATTTCAAACTTCACTGCATTATTACGTGTATTATTATTTTTACTAATTTGTTATTTGAACTGGAAATTTTCATTAGATTATCAAGCTTTGCTGTAAATATTGGTTTTCTTGGCTCAAATCCAGTAATCTATTTTTATTATCCTCCGGGACCAAACTGATTATTACGATAGCTTTCAAAAATTCGCTGATCTGTATTCATTACATTCACTGCATACTAAACAGTCATGCACATTTGGGATCTTTGCTATGAAATTCGAGATTTTCTGATTGGGCTAATTCGGACAAACTTAAGCTAGAATACCGGTTCTTATTTGCGTATAAACAAAGATCATTAAAGTAAAAGATAGTTTACATAAATAAGAATCGCCCGATCGGAAAATCTCGAAGGGTGAATGGATCCCATTTATATTTGGATAAAGAGACTAAACAGACCTTTATTTGGAATTAATATATGCGACTGAAACGTTGTTCGCATAAGTTGAACGTTATTAAGAAAAAATGAAGCCTTTTGGCTTTCTGCAGATCAAAGTTTCCTGAGGCTAAAATCCGAAATAGTAATTAATAAATAAACCTCAATGCCCAAGGTATATTTTCCTTTAGCAACGCATTGTTCGAAACAAACCTTTAATTAAAATTATTGAGTTCTAATTTATTTTTATTTAAATATCTATTAAAACAACGATTAAATCTGTTAGCCAATCATAGTCAAGTGTTAAATGATTTTCATTATATGTGCTTGATAGCCAATCATTGTTAGGATGATCATCATGTGATTGCGCTCATATTCGCCACCACTAAGTTACCGGACGGTCTACGGGCACGTACCAAATCACGTGATTGGGCACGTACGGTAATATCACGTGATCGAAATATTGATCATCGTAACTTTAACTTCCCCTTTTATCATTAATTACTGTATTACCGATTACTGTGCAATAGTTTTATATAGCAATTTAATGTAACATTTATGTCTCTTAATGGCAACTACTCATGAAGTTTATTTTTTATACGTAAAAAAAAGATCGAGATGCAGCATCTCTTTAATATTTAATACATAAGGGCTTCAATATTTAAACTTCAATTGCACTATCATATTCTAAATTTTCTTTTTGTAAGTATCTGTATTCATCTTCATATTCTTTCTTAAAACGAGCTATTCTTTCTAAGAACAAATTTTCCCATATCTTACAAGATTTAGCACATATCTTTTCCCAACCATTTGCAATAGGAGGAACTGGAACATTTGGCTTGAGTTTTATAGCTACAAAATGCTGGCTTTCAAGAACATAAATGAAAGCAATTGATATATTTCGATTTAATGATGTGTTATCAGGAAGAAATGTAAGAGAGATATATTTACTGAAATAATGAACAGGTCGTTGAAATGTGTTCGCGATAACATATCCAAATGATGGCATCGACATCCAATGTTCTTTACCACAAGAACCAGCCTCCCATTGTGTCGTAAATAATATATCATTATATTCTTTTTCTTTTTCTAAAAACAGTTGAATATAATGAGACTTGCGAGTGCAGAGTTCATTATAGATAAGTTTTCGAATATTTGGCCAGTATTCTTCATTTTTTTCAATTGACACAGCAACAGCACGAAAGCCGCAATTACCATCACCCACAACATTGAAATATGCCGAAACATGTTCTCGCATAAATTTTGGAAGATTCGCTTCATATAGCTTATAACTAGAGGATTGAGAGGTAATAGAAGTTTGGTTTAAAGGTATCTTTTGTTGCTGAACAGTTTTATTTTTGGGCTTCATTATACTGTCCAGCATTTTCTTTTTCTTTTTTGCAGCAGCATCTTGTTTCTCGCTAAGAAGTGATTCTCGCTTAGTACTTGACTTAGATACCTTTTTGGGGGGAAACTTGATGGGCTCAGATAATGGCTCATTCATTACTTGTTGAATTTTTGTAATAAATTCGTTCTTTGCAATATTGTCAGGCAATTGCTGAAACTTCTCTTCGGCATTAACAAAAGTGGTATAAAACTCTGAATCAATAATAGCCGACTTAGAGGGGCGTGGAAGTTCTATAATATCTGGTCTTTCAAGTAGCCACCTCTTGTTAATTATTGACAAAGGAATTGGACCGTGTGCCGGAATCATATGTTGACAAGGCAGTTTATAATTAATTTTAATCAAGCATTCACAATCTTCAATATTATTATCCGTATCCTTTTTTTTTTGAATAGTTTTTTTTATTTGATTAATTGCCCATGTTGATACTTTTCCAATTAGTTCACTAAATATAGGATTACGAAGAGTAAATGGATCAATCGCAACTTTGTTGGAGCCCATACGTATTGCTGATTTTAGATGTTGTAAACGCATTACTTGATCAATTTGACGAAATACACTTTCCAGATCACTAGCTGTCTCGATTGCTCTTTTAAATGTGCTATGTGATGATTCAGATCTACCAGTAGTTGATATTCCCATATGACAAAATTGCTTAGTATAAGCTAATATCCACAATTTCGAATCTTTCATCCATGTCTGAATATAAGATTCTACCTTTTCTGGAGAGTGTGACTTTTCAGCAGCCTTTTTAATTGCATTTAGAGACTGAGGAATTTCTTCTTCACATTCAGCAAACCTTAGAGCTTCAACCTCTTTTTTAAACATCTCGTAGTCTTCATCATTTTTAAAAAGCTTACGGCAATTAACTTTCAAATTTTGCTCAAGAAGATGCCAAACACATAGCATCTTATTAGACTCCGGGAATACTTTAGACGAAGCATTTCTTAATGCTTGGTCTCTATCGGACATGAAAACATCTGGTAAGCAACCATAAGCATTATAAATTTTGGTACGAAGCGTTTGCAAAAACCATGTGTAGGACGCTTCACTTTCATTATCAATCCAGGCCATTGCGATTTGATAAGATGCTAGTACACCTTTCTCATTACTAATGTTATTTATTCCAACAGCACTAACAAGCGGATATTTGTAAATATTTGTTTTGTATGTAGCATCCACAATAAGAACCTCCGGGCATTTGGCAACGCACTTAGCAGCTTCAACATGTGAAAAGAAAAGGTGAGTTAGATATCCTTTTGTTGTTTTATGTGCCACAACCATATAATCACGTTCTTCAAGAAGCCTTAGTAGTATCTGAGTAGAATCGTTATTATAACCTTCATTCAAAGCAAGCCTAATACGTGCACGTTCATTCACAATGTCTTTTGAGAGAATAATACCACCATTAATAACCTTATTAACAGCTGCTGTTATAACATGAGTTGGTGCATTATTATCATGCAACTGTTGTACCAGATTTTTCTGATTTAGGCTCATAGCACGGTATTGTGGAAAAGTTGCAACCTCATCCAACTCAAGCATTGTGTGTTTATGTTCGAGTACAGCCTTCGTGACAATCCATTTTACTTCAGTATTTAAAACACTTGTAGTCGAATGGCATTTTGTTGCAGTGGCTCTAATATATACAGGGCAGCCTTCGCGTTTAGTAGTTTTCTTCCTTTTACTAGTCTCCTCTGTTATATTCCAACAATTTTTCCACTCTCCACCTTTTGTGCATTGCAAAACGACAAAGAGCGATTTTCCTTTACACCCGGTAAGGTTGCTATCTTTTCTTGAAAATGCAAACCCTTCATACTTAGCAGCTAATCTTGCAGCATCTTCGAAAGCTTCCAGAGAATCAAACTTATCATTCACATTGGGCATAAGAGGTTTAGACATTGTGGTTATAATTATAAAGTTGCATGAACGAATTAGATAAATTGTATAAGGCCGTAGAGTATAATCAAACCAACAAAGTCTGGTATATAATTCCACTAAAAAGTAAGTGATTATATATATATATAACGGGTTAAATGTTATATTAACAACTAGTGAAAGTGTTTGTTTTATAGGAATGTATTTTGCCAAAGCGAAAGAAAAAAATTTCTTTTTTTTTTTTATATAATGTAAAAAAATTTTTTTCTTATGATGTATCCATTACATAATTCTGCATACAAAATCTAGATTTTCCAAGTTTACTGATCGGAATGTTTCAGATGATTAATAATAATGGTTATTTTGTTACTCCGATTAGTGAACTAAGAGGTAAGTTGAATAAATGTGCAATTTATTCTTTGCGTTTGACAGTTATTTATTACGATTTAATTCATTTTATACTTATGGTTGAATTTATCATAATACTTTAATAATAATTGGAAGGGGCGAACATTATTTATTCACAAAAATACTAAAAATATGAATAATAAGTTTAATCAATTTGGCCTATCTAACAGACATAAGATGCGTCTAATATGCTCCATTTAAAAAAAAAATAAAAAAATACATATAAATAAAAAAGATTAAAAATAAAAGGATTAAATAATTAAAGAATAAAAAGAAATTAAGTATATAATCTAGTCAATTTGTCCCATATCTAATGGACATTGTATTTCTCATTCATCGTATAAATCGTTTAATCGTTCGTATGCGAATATCACGTGATATTACCGTACGTGCCCAATCACGTGATTTGGTACGTGCCCGTAGACCGTCCGCTAAGTTACTTATCTTCTAAAGTACGGACACGTGATATTTTTGTGGCGCAAACCAATCATATTTCAAGATCAGGTGTAACGTAACACGATCAGGAAAATTCAAAACAAACGTTCGTTTAACCGTAACTCAAAAAAACCAGCATAGGAAACCACCTTTGGTGCCTTAACAAAAAGTTTTCCTTATGCGATTTTACTATATATCTTGCTAAAACCTAGCATTAATACAACTAACTTAAACGATGCAAATACAGTCACGTGTCCGTACTATTTTGAAGGCGATACTGGGGAAGATTTGTTCCCACAGGTACGTAGGTCACCTGGATCATCAGGTGGTAAAAGATATTCTACTACGGTCACTCATGGGCCTTATAAAAAAATTTTATCCGAATATTTCCATTATTTCTCCGTGGCCTCCGTAAAAATTCCATGACAATGATACATTTACGGATATCCGTGTTTGGGAGATGAAAATTTCCATGATTTAAGGTTATAAATTCCATGAAAATGAAACATTCATGGAAAAAACATGGAATAATAAACACGGATCAACATTTTTTTATAGGGGGGTGTGTCACACAGTCACCCGGTGGTAAAAGAATTCAATGAGTCAGATCGACTAGAGCTAACTTTCCGCTTAGCCAGTCAAAAATCGGCTAATTTTTAGTTAGCTAATTTGTTTCAGAAAATTATATGAATGGAAAATCAATCCAAGTTATTAGTACCGTTTCGACTTTCAATTTCATACTTTCAACATGATACATTTGCAAATATATTCCGAACACAAAAATACTTCGGAACCATCCTTAGACTTCTGGTTATACATATTCAACTTTCGGAACTTCCAATTTCATAGTATTTTTTAGAACTTTTGACATTCATTAAAATTCGTGAAGGCTATAAAATCTTAGCCAACCATGTGAAATTCTTAAGAAACCCGTGACGAGTGATCTGCAGGTTGGTCGACGGGTGACCCGGGTGATTCCTATCCGGGCTGGAACTTTAGTTTCGACATAAATTTTTTACTAATCAATGCTATCGTAAATTTTTCGTTAGTAGAAAGTGTTTTCATTTCATTCATTCCATACTTTTGGAAGATTTACTAAATTTTTATATTATAATCCAATTTTCGGACTATATAGTATAAATTTTGATCAATAGTTTTTAAACTATTGCTCTTGTAAGAATATTGTAGACTTTCAATAAGATCAAGGCGTCTACACGTAAATCTATCAACTCACCAGCTTCAAATATAATTATATTCATATGAATTCTTATACTATAGTTGGGGTGGGGCATGGGTGAATTTTTTGGGCATGCCTTGGGCATGCTTAAAGCATAACTATGAGAATGATTAAAATTTTTTCCATGCCCCACCCTAACTGTAGTAGGCTATAGCAGCTTCTCTTTTACTAAATATTTTTCATTTAATGATTTATTATTTTTTTAAACAAATTTTTTTAACAAATCAAAATTGACTTCTTTTTTTGTAAATAAGTCTTCTGATGACTCTGATAGTCACTATTCAAAAGAATCAAATCTAGTATAGATCACACCTACTTTAACGATATTTGATTCAAAGTAAACACTAATGAAAATAGCGAATTACAAATTACGCTTTTCTTTGTAGCACAGACCCATTACGAGTATTGAGCTTATTCAATACATAACAAAAAACAAGTATTTAATATAGGTATATGCACTTTAGTTAATGATACGATCTATTCTTTATTCTTTATTTTACCATTATTATCATATATTTTAAACTATTGCAACTATGAAAGTAAACTTTTCAATTAATTTGTTATTAATTATTTCCGCTTTACAAAATTATCCAATGGTTTATGCTTATGAAGAACCATTAGCGAAACTATGGAACGTAAGTTATAGTATGTTACCCACGCTATTGGGTTACGAAAAAAATTTAATGAAAGTAGATGAACGCCTACTTGAATTACTAGAACAAGATGAATATTTCACAAGTATAGGTGGGACTTTCATAGACGTACCGGGGAATAAATTACATATTAATGTATTAAGTGATGCTATTGATGTGGTTAAACATAATTTAGAATCGAAATTTCAACAAGATAGTCATTTATTTGTTTTTAAACCAGTAAAAAATTCCATAGCAGCATTAGTACATACTTTTGGACAAATATTAAATATAACTAAAAGACTTAAACCTTTGGTTATTACTTGTTACATTTCTGCAGAATCTAATTATGTCTTTTTAAAATCATACCAACAATATGATGAACAAAATAGAGGGTTTTTCGATGCCATCAGACAAATTAGTCAATATAACGAAACTGTAAAACATCATAATGTTCCTAGCATACCTAATACTCAACCTTCTTTTGTTGAAACAAATAATATGGAGATAGATGCTATAGGTACTCGAATCCTGGCTGGAGATGGAGTATATAATAAAGACCTCCAGGGGAGATGTTCATTGGGTTTTTGGGCAAAATCCAAAGACTTAAAATCCACTTACATTGTAACTTCAGGACATTGCTCTACCAACGAAAGTCAATCGTTTTACCATTGTAAATGGAATGAAAATGTGTGTGTCGATTTAATTGGGTCTATGAAATTTAAACGTAGCTATCCGCTCGACGCTGGATTAATCTCAATAGATAATAAGAAGATTATAGAACTTTTCGATACAGTAGTGGCTATAAATAACGTTGATTCTGAACAAAATGATGAGTTGACTGTTTATGATGGCACAGAGTCATCCAGTAATGGTGCTCATATATGTAAGTCTGGATACGCTACACATGTTACTTGTGGAAAAATAATTGCGTTCAATGGATTTTTCATTAATAAGGAACAATTATTAGCATATCCATTAACCTTTTCAACCGCAAAAAGTGGGGTTTCTGACAGTGGAGGGCCTGTATTTTCTTATAAACCAGATTTGAAACAAGTGAGTTTAAATGGCATTCACGTAATGGGTGGTAGTACTTTTTCCGGATATCTACAATTAGAGGATAT